TGGGCCCAAACCGATTTTCAACTCTTTTCTTTTTGTTTTTTTTCTAATTTTAAAACAAAAAATAAAAAATAACAATAAATAGTAAAACAAATGAAATTAAAACAAACAACAATGTAACACTTCAACACCATTATCACACCAAATTAAAATGTTCAAGTAAGTTAAATCACAACCTAGAACGAACAATGCACATATATTTTGAATTTTCTTTTAACTACTGAATTACGGTTTGATTACTATGACAGACATACCTTGTGTTTTGACTGATAAGATCAAAAAATGCAAAAAAAAGGGGATGAACCACAAATGACTAGCAGTACATGTCATGAAAAATTGGAAAATTTGTACAGCGAGGTCACTGGTCACTATTTTTGTTTTCTTTTGGAGTGCTTGTCCGTGAAGCAAAAATCACGTGCTTACAAGATGTTTCAGCCATTGTTGTCCGTTGAGTAAATGTGAGCCTTAAGTTATGTTTTGTGATTTTGAACTTCTCTTATTTTGACAAACGATGAAGTTCACCATAACATATAATCCAAGTTCATTAAATTGTGTTTTGAAAAGATGCAGCACTGACTCGCCAATAGAAGCTTGTATCCAATCGCCCTTCAAAGAAATCACATGAAATACATACATATAGTTGAACTTACAACGAACAACTCAAATATATTTTTCTAAAGATAAGTCAATGTGAAAATTCATCGAGTTAATAAGTTGGAAAGAATTGCATTCGGATGTTACATTCTGACAGTTGGCTATCTAACAGGTCCCTCTAGCGTTTACTGAATGCTTTAGTTTGATGGTAAAATTTTTGAACTAAAAAGAAACTCTGTTTAAGCAAAAGTCAGGCAAATATGCAAATAGTGACAAAAGTTCATACCTTCGTTATCCGAGGAATATTTAGGCGGTATTAAAAATGGAAGAAGAACAGAGCTAATCCAGATTTGTAACTTAAAACAGAGAAGCAAAACAAATTAGTAAGACAAAAAAAGTGATTTGTAGTATCTTCTAATCTTGTAGAACTAATTCAATCGAGAAAATAACGTTAATAAATGTATGAAGAATATAACAACAAATCCAGATTTTGCAAGTTAAAAAATAGAGAAACAAAACGAATTAGCATGTAAAAAAAATTAATTTTTAATACCTTTTCATATCGGAGAACAACAGTTTTGATATTTTTTCTCCGGTAATCAAAGAACTTTGTATTTTTAATATTGTTTCGATAAAAACAGGTAGAGATTAAAAAGAAGGCAGAAATAAGCAAAATAGCAAAAAAGTTAAGAGCATTCAAAGAGGGAACGGCTAAGTACAAAAACAGTGCAAGCAAAAAGAAAACCAACATATATATATATATATATACTGTTGCAATGAATATATTGTAAGACAAAAAAGTGAATTGTTGTAGTATCTTGTAATCTTGTAGAACCAATCGAGAAAGTAGCTTTAAAAATGTGTGAAGAACATAACAGCAATTCCAGATTTTGCAACTTGAAAATAGAGACGCAAAACAAATTAGTAAGTAAAAAAATTAATTTTTAATACCTTTTCATCTTGTAGAACCAATTCAATGAAAAAAGTAGTGTCTGAATTGTAACGATCCGGGACTTTCGACGGACGAACAATCCGAACTTTCAACTTCCATTGCATTTTCGAAATTGTTATATCCTTGATGAAATTAGTGTGAGTAGCCATAATTTGCGGAATCCTTTTGTTTTGTTGAATTTCTAATATACGCTTGCCTTTGGTTTATGTATAGAGTATCAATGGAAGATATATAAGTTGGTATAGTCAGTTTTGAGCAGTTCAAGATGGTTACCGATCGTGCGTAGGTTTAGATAGCATAGCTTTAGATAAAATAGATACCGTAGGTTTAGATAAAATCTAAAAAACGTGTATATTCACGTTCACTTGTTTAAAAAAAGAAAAACCTAAAAGACTTAGTTGACAAAAGCAGATTATTGAATAATGTAGGATTCCCCAAACAGAACATGTAAATACGGTTACTTGTTTAAAAAAAGAAAAACCTAAAAGACTTAGTTGACAAAAGTAGATTATTGAATAATGTAGGATTCCCCAAACAGAAGTCTAATAGGATGCTTCTAACGTAGTAATTCTTTAAAAATAAATTAACTGTCGTTTTTATTTGATTTTTTCCCAAATAATATATTAGTTCCTATTTTTGTGGAGGTACGTCCTAAAGGGCCAAATGTCTTATTTTCGTGCTGCCACTTGTCAAAAAAAGGGGCTTCTGCCTTTCCTTTTATTAATAGATAGATGAAGTATGTATTTTACACTTTTACCCATAATAATGATGGCATTTTTAAAAGTTTTGGGAAATGGGTAGTTAATGATAAGGGTAAAACAGAGAAAAAAAGATTGTCTTTCTCTTAATTTGATATAGTGGACAAGTAAAAGTAAAAGTGTATTTTTAGTATAGTGAACAAGTAAAAATAAACAAGAAATATATTTTAATACATAAAAAAAAAATTAACTTAGTAGCTGATACAACAAGGACAACCGGCAAAAAATTTAGGAAAATTATCAGCTATGCCCATTTATAAGTACCTCATTACAAAAATTGGTCAATTGATAAAATATTACTAATATTAGCGAAATTAGCCAATTAGCTATTTGTAGCAAAAAAATACCAAATTTTTGCTTTGTTTTGAGTGGGTGTGATTAGAATAGATTGCGCACAACTTAAGGAACTTGAATCTCGGTTTTGGGATGATTTGGTGAAGTTTTGAGGTGATTTGAATTGAAAATTCGAAGTAAAAGCTGAACATGAAAAAAATGATATGTGTATCACACTATGTATCATTTGTGTATCACATATGTATCATATTTGTATCAATTGTGTATCACATGTATATCCATATATACCTGTGTGTGAGATACATGCGTGATACATGTGTCGCAGAAGACTTTTTTGATCTCGATTTAATTATGAATTTTGATACAAAACCAGTCCAAATCACCTCTCATTTTCCTCAAATTTTGTATATTGACTTATTTATATATTTTCAATGAATTTCAACTATACCCATTGAAAAAATTCCTTTTTTGTTTAGATTTTTGGAATATTGTATAGATTTTTGTATTTCATCACCTTATTTGATATCCCGTCCATGAAATTTCCTTTCCGTCTTGTATCTAATGTTGTTAATCACGCTTAAAAATATGGGAGGTGATTTTTCCATGTGATTCTTTGAGAGAAAGAACACTATTATTTGGTTTTTCAATTTTTGTTAGCTAATTTTGATAAATCTGTGACTAATTGCCAGAGGTTGGTAAGTTGAGATTTATTTTGGACTAAGTTTCGTAAATTTACCTAATTCACTGCGGAAAAGTGAGCTCAAAGATCCACATTGTAAAAGGCCCAAATCTGGGTCCACATTAGACTTTTTCTTTTATTTTTGCCCAAAAAACAACAATTAGAGGTTTCATACACGAGATTCTGGTCAACTTTATGAACATAGACCGTAAAACGTCAAGATTCAGACATTTTATTGGCCCTACATTCGAGGAAACTAATACTTACCGCTGAGAACTGACTTCCAAAAAAGTAGTTGCACAAACTACGTCGTTATTTTCCCACTTCTCTTTTACCTTGGCCTCCTAGTATAAAACACACAAATCATTTCTTTTCTTTTCTATTCTTTTACCCTATTGTCTTCTTGTTTACACTCAAAAACCATTTTCCCAACACATGCATTCATCTGGGCATCTTTCTTGATTTGTTACATTTTTTATCCCTCATTTTCTTGTTAATTAATTAACCAAACAGAAGATAGCAAAATTGCAACACATTGAACTTAGACGTGGGAATTCTTTTTTGATGTCCAGAAGTTACAAGGACCATTGAGTGTGCGAACAAAAAGGCACGGTAGTTACTTAATCTGACTCTCTCTCTCTCTCTCTCTATATATATATATATATATATCCTTTTCTTGATATCTTTTTGAGTATCTTTAATCGTTTCAAGTATGTTTTTTTTTAATTATTACCACCTTTTACACTTTTCTTTAGTTCAATTTATTGTATGGTTAGTTTAGTTTAATAGGTATATATGGCCCTGCATGTGGAGTATGACCTAAGTGGGGGACCTTATCTTCTATATATCACTATCAATGGTGTACATGAAAGGCGTATGGAATGAAAAGGAGAGTGCTATATGCTAAATGGAAAACAAAATGTCTAGTGAATATCTTGAATTTTATTAATTAATTTGGTTTTAGGATTATATTTTTATTAGTTGATCCCCATTTCTAGTTTAAGGGTGAAAACTAAAAAAAGAGGAGAACATAGTAGTCAGTGTCATTGATGGACCCATTGTACTGAGATTTGTCCCTTTACTCATTTTTATTGTTAATAGTTGGAGAAAATTGAAATGTCTTGAGATTTATCAAAGAGGTTCCGTGAATTTCCTTCAGAAATTTTACACTTTCTGTTCTTTTTATATTTCTAGTAGTTTTTTATGGAGAGGGGTGGGGGTGGGGTAGGGTGGATTTTAGTTATTTTTGAGTTATTCTATCCTTGTTTTGGAATTTAATATTCCTTCTCTTATAGTAGAGAAGAAAGGGGTTGGGAATGGAGACTGGAGAGGAGATGAAAAAAGGGAGTATTATAAGCTAAGAAACTTATCATGCTTAACTTGTAGTAATGTAATTGCAGAAGTTACCAGCACAACTGTGTTGTTTGTTCTTTCTTTATGTGTATCCCTGCTTATACATTAGTTCATGAAAAAAATCAGCTAAGTTTAATTTGATAAGGTGTAAAAGGACCTTTCTAGAATGTCCACATCAAATAAGTTTTCCATGTTGCTAAATACTTCTCAGTCAAAAAACGACAATCCGTTGCACTAAGCTCCCATATGCAAGGACCGGCCTACATTGACTCTATTGTATTTCCAAATACCTAGACAGAAAAGAGAATATAGCTTGAAAATTGTAGTTGTTATTTTTACATTTTGGATATCAATCTTGTGGGATTATATTGGATATGTTGTTGTTAATGATGTCAATCTTGTCGTCGTGAATCTATCATATTAGTTGTGATTTCTAGAAATACTAACAGTAAAAAAAGATCCAAATTCTCACTGTAAACAAACCAATGTAGTGGACGTCCATTTTCTGTTAGATAAAATACAAAAAAAGGGTTGCTTTTAGTTTCCAACACCTGTATATATGTACTAAGCAAAATGATCAAGATCATGCTTAGTTGCATATAGCAGTAAGCCTTTCTTCAAGATAATAAAGCTTGATGCTCGAATTTTCTGACAATTTGAAATGTTATGTAATGTATTGTCATTGATCCTTCTTTAAGGCCATCATTGTTTTTGTCGTCATCTTTCTCTTATTAGTTACTATCAAGTTTTAGTGAATGTAGCACTGAATAATGCTAAGATTTGGAGGAATTGGAGCGTATTTTTTTAGTGCTGAGTAGAAGCTAGTTAATTTGAGCACCAGACTTTATGAGGTGTCAAATGCATTTTGTTGATTTGGCTTGTGTTGGAATTTTGTATTTCTCTTACTGATGTAATAGAAATTATATTACCTCTGCCTTACAGGTGAATTAGCCAATTCTAATCTAAGATGGGTCGATCTAGCGTTGAGGCAATAGAAACAAAAGAAATGGACTACCAAAGTTTGCCATCCCCTCAACACCAACAAGCACCATATATGCACAAGGTTGGAGTCCCACCGAAACAGAACCTATTCGATGAATTTAAGACTACTGTAAAGGAAACATTGTTTGCAGATGATCCTCTACGCTCCTTTAAAGATCAGTCAAGGTCTCGCAAGTTTGTCCTTGGTTGGCAGGCTGTGTTTCCCATACTAGATTGGGGTAGAAGCTATAATGTTTCTAAGTTTAGAGGTGATCTTATTGCTGGTCTGACTATTGCAAGTCTCTGCATTCCTCAGGTATATTTAAAGCATGCACATAGGACTTGTGTAAATCAATTGAACAAGTATAGACTTTTATGTTTCATGAGTTTGACCATATTGCAATTGGTTTAACAGGACATTGGCTATTCAAAACTCGCAAACTTAGCTCCTCAATATGGGCTATGTAAGTGTACATTTGCTGAATTAGTATACATTTAGTAAAAGTATAATGAACCCTCTTTCATGCATGTTTTTCTTTAAATTTTCCAGACTCCAGCTTTGTTCCACCTTTGATTTATGCCTTCATGGGTAGCTCAAGAGATATAGCGATAGGACCTGTTGCTGTTGTATCACTATTGCTAGGGTCTCTGCTTAGCAATGAAATTGATCCAACTACAAATCCAAATGAATATCGGAGGCTTGCATTTACAGCTACTTTTTTTGCTGGCATTACTCAAGCTACTATTGGAATCTTAAGGTATCCAAGAGTTGCCAAGCTTAAGAGCTTGTAGTTGTACACTTGTAGTTTTGATTTTCTTCATCTCATTCGATGCAAGCATTTATTGCTTTCTTTTCCCTTTCTGACTTGCCAACGGACAGCTAGCTTTAACTACTACTTTGGTTCCTTTTCAGATTGGGATTTTTAATCGACTTCTTATCTCATGCTGCTGTTGTCGGTTTCATGGGTGGTGCGGCCATTACAATTGCCCTCCAGCAACTTAAAGGTTTTCTGGGCATCAAGAAGTTTACTAAGGAAACTGATATCATTTCTGTGATGAAATCAGTATGGCGTTCGGCTCACCATGGAGTGAGTTATCTTGTCCTTCTAGGTATCCTTCTTAAGTGGTTTTATCTGCATAAACGACTAATAGCACCTTCTTCTTTTTTCAAAACACTTGCAGTGGAACTTGCCGACAATTCTCATTGGAGCAACCTTTTTAACTTTCCTTTTGTTCGCTAAGTACACTGTAAGATTTCTAACGTTTGTCTATAACTTAAGTTGAAGTGCTTTGACAGCTTTTGTTGATTCCTAAATGATTTTGAAATTCAGGGAAAGAAGAACAAAAAGCTGTTTTGGATACCTGCAATTGCTCCTCTGATCTCTGTCATTCTTTCCACCTTCTTTGTCTACATAACCCATGCCGAAAAAAAGGGAGTCGAGATTGTAAGTGCTTACTTTAGGTGCTTCTTTGGTATCATTAACTTTTTTTCCTGATAAGTTTCTGGTATCATTTAACTTGAACTTAATGAGAACATTTTCATTCATTTCTGTAATGACCTTACCAGGTGAGAGACATTGAGAAAGGAATCAATCCTCCTTCTGTCAGCGAAATCTATTTTACTGGTGATTATCTCCTAAAAGGGCTAAAGATTGGTATTGTTGCTGGAATGATTGCATTGACGGTAAGAAAATTGGTTAATCAAAGTCGAAACAGGAGCTTTTATGTTCTTCCACTCAATTGTCGTACTCCTACCTTCCCGTTCATAGGAAGCTGTTGCAATTGGAAGAACATTTGCTTCAATGAAGGACTACCAGTTAGATGGAAACAAAGAAATGGTGGCACTTGGAGCGATGAATGTTGTTGGCTCAATGACATCATGCTATGTGACAACAGGTAGGAAAGATGAATAAAGTTCTATTAAAACTTATTTAACCATCCGATACCTAGGCTTCAAATAAATGCAGCCTAAGGAATCAATGTTTGATTGATCTGTTAATGTGTTTCATCATATATACTCTGATTCATCGTTATCTTATGTCTTAGTATTAACGAAAAGAAATAATACAAGGATTTGAATTCATTTCTCTTGGGATTCTTTAACTAATTGATCAATTCACTCTTGCAGGTTCCTTCTCTCGATCAGCAGTAAATTACATGGCTGGTTGCCAAACTGCAGTTTCCAACATTATCATGTCTGTTGTTGTGTTCTTGACATTGTTGTTCATAACCCCCCTTTTTGAGTACACTCCAAATGCAATCCTCGCTGCCATCATTATCTCTGCTGTCATTGGATTAATAGACTATGAAGCCGCAATTTTGATTTGGAAGATCGACAAATTTGATTTTGTTGCTTGCATGGGAGCATTTTTTGGTGTGGTTTTCGCCTCGGTTGAGATAGGTCTTTTAATTGCAGTAAGTATTTTTCTGAGGAAGGCTTAACAATTTCGTAAGAGAAATCCGCAATAGTTTAATGATTGAATCTCATTGTCTTTATTATTAAATAGGTCTCAATATCATTTGCTAAGATTCTCCTTCAAGTCACAAGGCCACGAACAGCTATTCTTGGCAAGATCCCTAGGACAAATGTATATAGGAACATTCAACAATATCCCGAGGCAACACAAGTTCCCGGTGTACTAATTGTGAGAGTTGATTCTGCTATCTACTTTTCAAATTCTAACTACACGAGAGAGAGGTAAGCCATTATTTCTTCTATCTTCAATCGGAGTAGATAGACAGACAGATAGATAGATAGATAAAAGAGTTTGTAATTCATGAGGATGAACTTGTTTTCCAGGATACTGAGATGGGTAACGGATGAGGACGAGCAACTAGAATCCGCTGGCTTTCCTAAAATTAGGTTCTTGATTGTTGACATGTCACGTAAGTGGGGAACGATTAACTTTTAAAAAAACTTCAAGCAATATATATGCTACCACACTTCTTGCAAATAATACTTAATTATTTCATGTTTTTCTACTTACTCTTTTGCAGCGGTGACTGACATTGACACCAGTGGCATCCATGCCTTTGAAGAGTTGCACAGAAGCCTACAGAAGAGAGAAGTTCAGGTAAAGCTTAATAATCATACCCAAATATAGTATCTGAACTAAAATAAAACCATAGGTCTCTTGATATCTTACCCTTCGTCTGTTTGTGCGCGCACGGACAGCTTGTTCTCTCAAACCCTGGAAGGCAAGTGATCGACAAGCTGCACGCATCCAATTTCGTGAGCCAAATTGGCGAGGACAAGATCTTTCTCACTGTTGCAGATGCCGTGCTAACATGTTCCTCGAAGTTCCCTGACGAAGTAGTCTAAAGTGGTAAATAGCATACAACCATGGAAACTCACTCACCCCTATGCTGGGACTGGGAGAAAGAAAAATCAGCTAGAGAGAACCAATTTGCATATAGCAATGTGTAGTGAATCAAAAAGGGACGTTGGATCCTAATTATCAGTGATTGGTGGGACCTTAGAAAGTGATGGCATTCTAATCCAGAAGCAGAAAATGGTTCATATATAAGCCAATTGTTATAATGCTCTTGTTGAGTTGTTAAAGTTCTCTGTATGTTAGCTACAGTTCAGATTGTATAGATAGTTCAAAACTTTCTTCTCAATGAGGGCTTGCTAAAACCAATGTTGGAATTACCAGGAATGCATGCCATCCCATTATATACCATTCATCAACAATAACCAAGAGGTTAAAGTTTGAAATAATGACTCAATTAACTATGGCTCAATCCAAATTTAATTGGAGCCAGCTTTATGAATCGTTTGTGATGTTTCCATTCTATTCAAGTGTTTTTCATTCCAATAGGAAATGATTTGACTTTTATCACAAATTAAAGTTTCTCCAAAATTAGAGGTTCTCTACATCTAATACATATATTTAGACATATACTAACCATGCTAAAAGAGCTCTCGACAAATATGGACCTAATGTAAATAAAGATGTGCTATGTAAGGTTTGGAGTTGATCGGCAGCTGAAATTAGAAATAGGGTATGAATTAGGAAAGAACGGGAAAGGGAAATAGGGTTATGAATTAGGAAAGAAGAGTATGAGTAATAAGGGACAAATGGCAGGAGGAGGAGCATTGGATAAGTACAGGTGGAGATTAGTAATTGTAGGTGATATAATAAAATGAATAGCACAGATTACAAGGGAGCTGGGTTGATCGGAGGGCTCAGATTAAAGGACAACCCAACTAAATAGTTAGTAGGGCCAGCCCACTAATCAATTTCGAGCCGGTATTTTTCTTAACTGAATTCTCACCCTCTCTCTTCTCTCTCTCTCTCTCTCTCTCTCTCTCTCTCTCTCTTCATTTCTCAACTTTGCCATTCTTCTTCTTCCTCTTTCTAAATTTTCAATTTCTCTTTCAGGTTTCATCCCACCATTGCAGCTGATCAACAAGCTCAATATGGATTTTAATTCAATTGTTGCAATTCAATTCCATTTCATTGTAATAGAATTTCTCGATTGAATTCAATAAAAATACAGTTTGGGCTCGATTCTACTTCTTAATTATTAGTACATTACAACTTGGTATCAGGCAAATTCCTGGCCCAATGACGATTACAGAAACAAGGTCAAAAAGTACAGAAGAATCAGTTAAGAAATTAGACATGCAACTCCAGAATTACATGGAGACTAATGATGCTAGATTGGAGGATTTGGCCAAGAAGATGGATCTTTTAATGGAGAAATTGATCCCCAATCAAGAGGAAATTTTGGGAAGTGTGTCGGGTCTTCAATTAGATGCTTTTGGAAGCAGGGTACACAAGAGTGACTAATTCGAGCAAGCTAGATTCCAAAGGAGCAATCGCCATGGTCGATTTGAGTTCCCATTTTATTATGGAGTTGATCCCTGCTCGTGGCTGAGGAAAGGGGAGAGATACTTCCACAACAATCGAATCCTTGACCCTGAGAAGAAGTTGGAAGTAGCTGTCATGCACTTAACAGGTAAAGCTGAGGCATAATTTTTCTCATATCATGTTAGCAAAGGTATAATCAAATGGCATGAGTTTACTGAAGAAATTTGCAAAAGACTTGAAGGAGCTAGTAATAGTAAAGTCAACTTAATTGGAGAATTTTAAAAGGTTGAACAAAAAGGAACAGTAGATGAATATTGTGAAAGATTTGAAGAATTGAAAGTCTAGATTTTGATAAGGAATCCCACCATTCCTGAAGATTTCTTCCTAGAATTCTTTATGGAAGGTCTCAAGGAAGAAATAAGGCATACAATTAAGATGCTTAACCCTTTTACCCTAAGTCAGGCTGTGGATAAGGCTCAACATCAGGAAAGGCTAATCCAAGTACAAAATAAGAAGGAGAGAAGTTAGTAGGGAAGAAGTAATATTACAGGTTCTAATCAGACTAATGGGGTAATAGTTAAGGGAGCTAACTCTTCAATGGGAGGCCAGGGTAACAAGCTCTTTGAATTGAGGAAAGCTCAAGGGCTATGTTATAAGTGTGGTGAAAAATATCATGTTAGGCATCAGTGTCAATCCAAACAGCTAAATGCTATATCTGTTTTAATTGATCCGACTGAATTGGAACGAAGTGAAGGGACATGAGGTGATGTTAGAGAAGTGGAGGAGATGCCAGAGGAAGAAATTATGGATGAAGCAATTACTCTGAATGCACTTTCAGGTACTGAAGTCCCAAATGCCATCAAGTTGAGAGGAGAGGCTAAAAGGAACAAGATCACTATTTTGTTAGATTCAAGGAGTACCCATAGCTTCTTGGATCTGGAGACTGCTAGGAGGATTGGTGCCAGATTATTGAGGCAGTCCCTATGAGAGTGACTATAGCAAATAGGAACCATATTACAAGCCTATATTCTTGTCCTAGATTCAAATGGAAGATACAAGGGTGGACTTTGAAGATGTTGTGAGGCTTGTTAGATTGGGGGGAAATGATATGATATTAGGTGGTGATTTGATGAAGGGACATAACCCTGTACTGTTGGATTTCATTGAATACAAGGTTTAGGTGACACATAAAGGGAAGAGAATGGAGCTTAAGGGCATCTACGGTCAAGGAGAATTGAAGAGTATGACAGCATTAGGAGTGAGACAACTGTTGAAGAAAGGGTAGGCTATTTGGGCACATCTCTTACACTCTCAGCCCAGGAGATACCAATGACAAAAGAAATACACGCGGAAATTAATGAAGTACTTGCAGACTTCAAGGATGTCTTTGTTGAGCCCAAATCCTTACCACCAAAAAGAAACCATAATCATCACAGTCCCCTGAAAAGTAATGCAAATCCAGTTAGCCTGAGACCATATAGGTATAACTATTTTCAAAAGAATGAAATTGAAAAACAAGTTATGAAATGTTGACAAGTGGCATAATACAACCAAATCACTCCCCCTTCTCTTCTCCAATATTATTGGTCAAAAAGAAAGATGGTAGTTGGAGATTCTGTATAGATTACAGGGAACTTAACAAACTGACAGTAAAGGATAAATTTCCCATTCCTTTGGTAGATAACTTAATGGATAAATTAAGTGGTATTTGTATATATAATAAAATTGACCTTAGAGATGGCTATCACCAAATCAGAATGGATGATAAAGACATATACAAAACTGCTTTTAGGATACATTTAGGACACTATGAGTTTAGAGTCATACCTTTTGGCTTGACTAATGCCCCTGCAACCTTTCAGAGCCTCATGAACCACATTTTCAACCCTTTCTCAAAAAATTTGTACTAGTTTCTTAGATGACATTCTAGTATACAGCCCCAACAACCACATTCACATATTACACATCAGAAAAGTTTTAGAAATTTTGAGGAAGGAGCAACTATATGCTAAGCTATCTAAGAGTTCATTTGGACAGAATAAGGTAAAATATTTGGGTCAAATCATTTCAGGGGAGATGGGGGAAGGGGTGGCTACGGATCCTTCAAATATTGAGGCTATGGTTAACTGGCCTAGACCAAAAACTATCAAATACTTAAGGGGTTTCCTAGGACTCACAGGTTATTATAGAAGATTTGTCAAATCTTATGGGGTTATCAGCAAACCCCTGACCAATCTCCTTAAGAAGAACTCCTTCCAGTGGTCAGAGGAAGCATAGATAACCTTTCAGCAACTTAAGTCTGACCATGTCATCAGCCCCAGTTTTGGCCCTAGCTGATCTCATTAAACCTTTCATTGTGGAGATTGATGTCTGCTCCATAGAGATGTAAGCAGTCTTATTACAGGAAGTCAGACCCTTGGCATATTTCAACAAGGTATTGTCTTAGAACAATAGGGGATTATCAACCTATGAAAAAGAGTATCTAGTTGTACTAATAACAGTGGATAGATGGGGACACTATTTGATAGGTGGCTACTTTATAATTAGGACAGAACATTAAAGTCTCAAGTGCTTACTGGAGCAAAAGATTACCACTGCCCTTTAGCAAAAAGGTCTCACCAAACTCCTTGGACTGGACTATAAATTCCAGTACAAGAAAGGTACTAAAAACAGAGTTGTTGATGCTTTTTCAAAAAGAGAATAAGAAGAACCTATGCTATATGCCATTACTACTTCTGAACCCACCTGGATGCATGAGGTAATTCAGGGTTATGAACATGACTCTGTGGCTCAACAATTGTTGCTTGAGTTAATTACAGATCCTTCAGACAAATCTGATTACACTCTTCAGCACGACATTATCAGACATGACCAAAAGATATGGATAGGGAGGGGAGCTGGTCTGAGAACTAAGATCTTTGAAGCCCTTCATCAGTTTCCTCTTGGGGGACATTCTGGACAATTGAGAACTTATAAGAGGATCAAAATGGGCTTTTACTGGCCTAACATGAAGACTGACATCTCTAAATGGGTGTCTGAGTGTGATACATGTCAAAGAGTAAAAAATAAAAATGTACATACTCCAGGATTATTACAGCCTCTTCCCGTCTCAGAAATGTCATGGCAGGATATCTCCATGGATTTCATATAAGGTTTACCTTCTTCTAAGCACAAGAATGTGGTATTGGTAGTCATTGATAGATTGACCAAATATGGACACTTCCTAGAATTAAAGCATCATTTTTCAGCTAAGAAAGTAGCTGAGTTATTCTTGTAGGACATCTATAGACTACTTGAGCTTCCTAAGTCAATTGTGACTGATAGAGATGCAGTATTCACCAGCCAATTCTGGCAGCAGCTCTTCAAGTCAATAGGAACCAAACTTAATATGTCTACAACTTATCACCCTCAGTCAGATGGTCAAACTGAACGACTTAATAAATGTTTCGAAACTTATCTGAGGTCTATGATTTTTGCATTTCCTAAGAAATGGATCAAGTGGTTACTCTTAGCAGAGTGGTGGTACAAAACCAACTACCACATCTCACTCAAATCTATACCATTCCAGGCACTATATGGATTTCCACCCCCACAGGTTCCACTAAGATCACTACCCCATTCTACACAACTTGTGGATTCTTACTTGGCTAAAAGTCAACAGATGTTGATGATTCTTAAGGAACACTTAGTCCAGGCCCAAGCCAGGATAAAATTCTATGTAGATTGGAACAGGTCTGACAGAGTTTTAGAGGTGGGAGACTTTGTTTATTTGATATTACAACCCTATAGACAATCATCAGTAGTTGTACAGTGAAATTGTATATTGAGTTCCAAATACTATGGGCCATACAAAGTGCTACAAAAGA